TGAAATATAAACTCAATAGGAGTGTGGTCCTCTTGTGGACCATACTAGGCAAATACGATTTGCCAATACTCGGATTAGGCTCGACATGCTAGGCCAACCGAGTTTGGAAAAATCTAATGTACCTAGACATACAGATCTACTGAGAAGAGTTTAGTGGATTAGCCCTTGATGAGGTCGAAGTATATCTATAAGCGAGCCAAGTTACTGTATGACCCTTGCGTGTGATGAATAGCCTTTAGAGACAGGGCTAAAATATTATCGTTATATCATCACATAGCATGTATATAGATAGTCGTTTTGAGATTCGTCAATAAGGGTGAAGCATGTACATGTGCGAGAGATTACCCCTGTGCAACATAAAATGATGGGTACATCATGGTCTAGAGGACCATGATTTTTTTGTCTCTAGGGGAGAACCTGAAATCCATAAACTAGGATTGTGTTTCTTAGAATATTAGCTGACTTTGGTGGTCCAATCATGGGCCTCTGCAGTGAACTGTGGATCATGAGAACTGCTGGGTCAATTTGAGAAAGTTAGATGAATCGTAATTCATAGTTGAAGGTAGAGTGCTCCCGTATATTGATAAATTTCTAGATTTAACAGATCTAATTCCCATCAAAATTAATTAGTTTTAATCAATTTTATGGTATATGATTCTTAAAATGTTTATTTAATTTTTTTTTTAATCTTTTAATATTTTATTTTTATCGTTGGATTTATAAATTAAGAAAAATTAATTATTCAATGTTTTAAATAAAATATCATATTTAAATATTCTAAATACAAAATAAAATATTTTCTAAAATTATATGGGACCCTTCATAAATATAGTGACCCAATTTAGAATCTGTGGGATTGGGTGGCCCAATTTAGAACACATGGGATTTGGGTGGGCCCACCTATAATGACTAACTTGTTATCCAAGATTTTGTGATAGTTATCTGTTGTTTGTTGACTTATCTTTTTAGTATAGCCAACTTATGTGATAAGGTTGAATATTTGAAATATTTAGTAAATCTTTGAATCAAGATTTTTTGATCCAAGAAATAAGGATGGGATATATTAAAATAGAAAGTAAGATATATACTTTTTCATTATATTTATTAAATCTTTGAATATTGCTTGATCCAATAAATAAAGATTGGATATACTAAAATAGAAAGTAAGATATATATTTTCTTTATTTTGATTCGATAGGAATATATATAAAAAAGAGATGATAAGGTTGTAGCTCATCTTTTTTAATCTTGATGGTGGATCAAAGATATGGATGACTCAAATCTCTCACCCCACAAGTCTTCGTAGATCGACGATCAAGATTTGACCATACGAGCAAACCCCAAGGCTACGAGCAAAGGCTCTCCCACCTCATAAAATCTCTAGACCTATTCTCTCATCTCTGTAAGGGTTTATCTTATATCACACCCAAGTAATCTCTGCCAAGCCAAGGGGGCATGCTCAAGTCATCTCCCTCGTATCTAGGTGGCACGCCGAAGGTAATGTTAGCTTGTAGTGATTTGATTTTTTAGTAGCAAAGGAGAGAAGACTAATAGATATCTCCCTCTCTCTTTGACTTATCTCTTATCTCTCCAAAGATCGGGCTTGCGCAAGGCTAAGACATTGAGTCCTTAGGTAGTTGGTTTTAGATCGAGATCCAATGTCATTGAGACGGTTTTGCTATATGTAGGAGAATCAAAAGACCGATTATAGATCCCGAGCACCATAAAAAAGGGGAGACTCGGTGTGGGGTGTACTAAGCCCGGTGAGGTAATTTCTAGCAATTTTACTTTTTTAAATCTTTATTTGTAATTTGATCTTATTTTCCCATAAAACAATAAGCTAATGTTTTGATTTAAGGAATTGTATTCAATAGTGGTAGGAAGAGAGAACCGTGTTTCTTTTCTTTTATTATTTATTTATTTAAAGAATTATTTGTTTGTAATTGGACATTGTGAGTGGTCTTGAAAGTGTAAAAATAAAAAAAATAAGAAAAAATTTAATTTATATACAACATGATTGATCACATAGTCCAACTTTCATAATGAGTATGAACAATATTCACAAGAGTATTGTTTACCTCACCATGTACTTAAAGAGGTACATGGGAACTTGCCTTGACCATAGGCCGAGGCCGAATTAATCGGCTGATCGGGCTGAGTTCAAGCCAACTCGGTTGAGTTACTAAGCAATGGCTAACCCTCCTTGATTTAAGGGGTTATTAGTGTTAAATGACTATTATTTCCATTGTAACGGCTTCTTCTCAAGCTATTCTTAAATGAATAAATAAACTGAAAAATATACAACGGGTCCATTGCCCATCTACCAACCTCTATCCACCATTTTGAAATCTTTAAGAAAAGTTGAGGAGATCATGGCCACTAATACACACATCATAGTGATGGACGGTAGTGATGGCATGGTGCATGGGTCCCACACAATGGTGCCCCATTGTATTTCTATTTCAAAGGAGGAAACCTTTCCTTACTTTTGGAATTCAAGTTTGGTCACTCAACTGACCCTAATATAATTTCCTTGTAAACTTAAATTTTTCATACGAGTATAGTCTATGAAATGTCAAAGAAGTCTGATTGCCTAGAATAAATTAATTGGTCAAGGCTATTGTTGTTTAAAGGGAAATTTATCAAAACAGACTTAATTGGTCAACTATTTAACATTTTCTTGATTTTCGACTATTTCAACTCATGATTATGCGAGTTTTGATTGGCTTTTTTAATTTAAATAAAAAAATATGGTAAAATATTTAATAGTTCAACTTTTAGGTACATTTTGATAAGTTTCCCATACATCAATATTTTATGGCCAGTGTATTTTTCTACAAGGTATATTTATCAAGATGTACTTCTCTTATTAATTATTTATAAAATTTTACCCATTTCAACTTCTGACTCATGATCATGTGTATTTCGATGGTCATCTTGAAATTGCATAAAACTAGGAAAAGTGTTAAATAACTCATCTCTTCGATGTATTTTGATAAATTGCACTTTTTTTAAAAGGAATTATAAATAAGAAAGTTATTTGCCTCTAATAGTAGAAGATCACAATCATTCTTACCTATGAGGATAAAAAATTCGGTGGCCAAAAGAATATGCAATCATATAACTAAGGGTGTATCAAAATGTCCAACAAAAATTTTCTTGGACATTGAGCACGACCAATAGCTCACTTCCAATACCCTAACTTTCCGTCTAAAAGCGAGACATGACTATGACTTTTTTGGATTAAAAATAGGGATTGTATACAATGAGACCGTTTAACTTTGATACAAGGCGGTTACAATTCCTTACAACCATTTGATGTGAAATTTGATTGTTTAGATGTGTCACAAAGTATGAGAAACTTTATTTTGAAGTTTGAGCTTGGTCAATGGAATAATTGCAGCCACCCAATTTCACATCCAATTGTTAAGATTAATGTGAATAGCTTGTATCAAAGGTAAATAACCTCATTTTATACTTTCTCTTAAAATATTATGTACTTTTCCTTTTTATTTGAAATGGTAGTAAAAAATATCATACAGAACCTTGTCTAGAAAAAGTTTGTACAGATCTTCAGCCAAAAAAAAAGTGTCTGTACAGATATAATCCAAGGCCCAATAAATTTATTCATGCCTCTTATTTTGGAATTTGGAGCTAAATAATGGTTTTTTATTTTTTCTTTTAAAATCTATAATTATCGAGGTAGAAATGATAAATTTGTAGAATTCTTGGACACCTGTTTTCTGGACAGATTTGGAGGTGTTGTCAATTGCACTGCAACTTCACCCTTTTAATTCAAGACATATACTCGTGCTAGAACCCATAAAAGAAGATCATCATCCTAGAAAGAAATTGAGATATTTTAATCATATGTGGAATATTTGGAGGATACTTTATCATTCTTCTTTTAAAGATGGGGTGTGCGAGACATACAAGGAATATTTTGGACAGTGCTGGCAAGAGGCTAGTTGGTTTGACTCGGTCCCTAAAAAATTAGGGCTTGGGCCTCAAAATGTAGCATCAGGGATGGGCTGGGCCTAGGGCAGGGCTGCAATAGGGCCAATCCAAGCGGCCAAGCCTAGGCTTCTTTTTTTTTTCCTTTTTTTCTTTTGTATACTTTTATTGTTTTTGCCTTGGCCTAGGCCTAGGCTAGGGCCCCAATGGCCATGTCAAGGGCGAGCTGTGATCAACCTGACCCTATAGGGACTAGGGCCAGTGCTGGCCAAGCCCATTGCCACCCCCGCTTGGAAGGCACTCAAATAGTTCTTATTTTTAAAAGGGTGCGGTTTGTATAGAGCCTAGGCTCTAAACAATCAAATTAAAGCCTACTTTCAAATAGTACTGAGAAATGTGGTTTCAATACTGAAAATCATTGTGATAGCTTTAAAATATATTTTTATTTTTAAAATATATTTTATATTTTTATATAAAATTTAAAGCTTCAAAAATAATGTAGATCGACCGATCTACAAAAACTTGAAAATCTTGAAAATTAACAGTCCAAAAATGCGTTACAAAATACACTATTTCCAAAACTTGAAATCAATTTTTTCTCGTGTCCATGCATCTTGATGTCGAGATAATCAATTTGAGGATATTTACGCATCAAAACAACCTTATATATTGAAATTTTTGAGGTAGGTTTTAATTTGATTGTTTAGAGCCTAGGCTCTATAAAAACTTTTCCTTTTTTAAAATAGGGTATTTTGGTCATATGAAAAATACTTTGAGACCATCATTCTAGTTTTAAAGACAGGGTATTTTGTCATCTAAGGAATAATTTGGAGGGCACTCCTATCATTCTTCTTTCAAAGGTAGGGGTATTCTAGTCATATGAGGTAAATTTGATCATTCTTCTTGACTAAACTTAGAAGCCTAAATCCCCTAATCAAGAAAATATCATAAATGCATAGAAAGCAACACCACATTGCTTTTTTTGTTTGCCTGGACTCTAATTTTAGGGTACCCTACAAAGATAAAAAGGTACTCCAAACTCTTAACCCCATTATTCTTTTCTGCTACCCTTGTCTCTATCTTAGGGCTTAGGCTTTATTATCTTACAAAGAAAATTCAAAAATCATATAAAATTGCATAGACATTTTTATTTTTTGGGTAAGCATAAGAAAGAAAATTTTCCTTTGTATCAATTGACAATAATTTCGTATTATGTTACCCTCGGTTCTAAATCTAAAGGGTTCACATGAAACTATGAAAGGGTTTCTAACTTTTTATGACTTTCTTTTTTTTAGGCCTCTTTAATCATTAGTTTTCTTTTTTCTTTTCTTTTTTAAAAGAAGTTAGTTAAGTTTTTATCACTCAATCATTCTTTGTTTGTATCGGATAATTTTTCATAACAAATGAGATAAAAACCTTTCTCCTCTTTGTTGAACAAATTTAAACCTAGAGTTTTGCAGAAACCTCATGTTTGTTTCATCTTCTGAAACCTAGTTTTGTTTAATAAAGGGGAGTGGGGACTTGGAAAGCTGGTTAGAGTTAGATCTAAAGAGGGATTTTTTTTATCTTTTTTTTTTCTTCCCTGAATTTTCGGAATTTTCGTATTTTTTTATTTATTTAACGGGGGGATATTGGCGATTTTACTTAATTTTTGTATCATCTGTATGTCACAAAATCGAGCACATTTGTTGGCTGCACAAAAGGAGAAAAGGCGGACTTTGTAATTTGGGGTAAGATGACAACCCTAATTGTCTTCAATATATTGCGATTTCATTTCTTTCTTTTTATTTATCTGTATTTGTTTAAATTATATGGATGTATTTGTGTATGCTGTTTGATTTATTGTAATTTATTTTTATTTTGGTCTTAAGGTTTGGAGTATTTTTTATTTTTTTGGAATGTAATAATCATGCAAATATTATGTTAATTTAGGGTGAATTTTGACTGATGATCTGCATTTATTCATAACATATATTTTGGAAGTATATCTGCTGGAGATGGAGCCATGGACTATTAGGGCTTGGTGTTTGAAGTACAAAACTCAAGTATCAGGGTTGAGATTCACAATCTGAACAGAATTTAGCAAGTTCTTGTCAAAAACATTTGAATTTTGAAATTAGTTATTGGGAATCTACATAATATGGGAGGCTGGTTTCTTAGGTCTTCTAATGTATACATCTTCATGGCGTCGGGACTTTTAAACCTAACTCATTCTTAGTCTGTTTCATAATTCATGGTGGGTGACATGCAGCTTAGTTTGGGAAAGCAATCTAAAAAATATTTTAATCTATTTATTTGGTTTGTAAACTCTACCATGGTCCCAAGGCGGTCATGCCGCTCCCAAGACCAGAGAAAGGCGGAGAGTTGTGTTAGGTTGGCAGCTGTCATGAATCCCAATCCTATGTTGCATGCTCATGCTAGGGTGTTGGTTTGACTGGGGGCATGGCCCATGATAGAAGAGGATTCATATAGCCTACCCCAAATAGTTGGGATAAGGCTTGGATGATGATGATGAATTTGGTTTGTAAATTTTGTTTACAATTTGTGGTGGTTTCCTGTGAATTATAACAGTATTCTTTTCCAAACAAGTTGTTATCTAACTTGTGTGTATAATTTACATAATAAGATCAAGTTAAAATTGTCTCAATCTATTTATTGGTTTGTGAATTTGGTTCAACATGTGGGGATTTGCTATGAATTGGATGAAGATGTTTTTCCTCTCAATCTGTCCTGTAATTTGTCAGTAGTCAGTGTGAACTAGTGGGTTGCCTTATATTTAATTTAGGGCAATTTATGAAAACACACTTAACATTTGAACTATTTAATATTTTGCCCTAGGTTTATTTTCATAAATTCAAAACCCATTTTGATGTGTCATTTGATGACTATTTGAAATTTGATCAAAAGAATGATGGACAATTTCAAATTAGATAAGAAAAAAGGTATGGGCAAGTTGTTATATAGTTCAAGTCAAAGGTGTAGTTTGATAAATGTCCCTTTCATTTGTATAGTTTTGCGTTTCTCTATCGAATCGTAGTTAAACAACGTGAAATACTATGGGATTTATGGATACTTTTAGAATTGCATGCGTTTGGGTAGTTGTAGCTTCTTCTTTTTTCATTGGCCGGTATATTTGTTGTGTCACTGGAATGACTTCTCTTGCCAAAATATTGGAAGATTGGGTCAAGTTGGAAGATCGTAAACCATATTATGATCTAGAAAACGACATTCACCATTGATTGAATTTGGACTGTTCTTGTTAAGGAGTAGTTCCCGTTGTTAGTTATTTCTGTCAGTCATCCTCTTGGTCAGCATCTAGTTTTCTAGGCTAATTGAGGTGTTTTCCTAATGCATGGAGAGTTTCTTTTTTTGACAAAGGGAATATTATCAATCTAGATTCATTTTGTAGACAATTTTTATACCAGTTTGGGTAGTATGAAGTTAGATTTTAGAATGATGGATGGGGTTAGATATGTACATTTAAACTACTTTATTTTAGTTTTGATGATTCCGTTCAATGTATTTTATACATGTTTTCAATTCTAATTTTTTCTTGGTAATAGATAGGTAATAGTTAAAAGTTTATAATGTTGAGGGTTCTACCACAAATATTAGAACTAGCGGATTTTACGTGATGTGATCTTATTTGATTCCCTGAGATCGTCCATGTTTGTCTGCTCTTTAGATTCGGTTTCTCTATGCATTGCTCAAAAACAAAAAACAAAAAACAACAATTTTGATGTCAAATGATAAATGTTTCCTAAAAAGTTTATCAAAATTCATATGGGTGTTTCCTAGTTTGGTTGACATCTGAAATTAGAAAACCTGAATATTTATAAACAGTGTCCTTTATGAACTTGGTGTATCCCATTACATGCTGATGCAAACCCCTTCCAGAGGGCATAAATTTCACCTGGGTGTTCATTTGGGGTGATCCAAATGTCATTTTCAAGATCTGTTGAAAACCTAAAGTTACTATTTCTATGGTTTTATCCTGATTCGGCTGTTTCAGGCTTCAAATTTGGCTAGAGTCTTGATGACAAAATTAGTGGCAAACTTTTGGTTTAACTAGGTTGCAGCCTATGTGATTCACATGCAAGCACACAGAGAGAGGAGAGAGATATTACATTAGATAGATAGAGAGAGAGAAGTTGGGGGGGGAGGGCGGAGAAATTAATTGTAATAGATAAAATCTCTAATAATATATGTATATCTTTTCTCTCTCAACCTTCTAAATTTGATAGTTATCCAATTATTTGGGAGTTATGAAGTTTCTATATGTGGGATAAAGACAGATTTTTGTATAAGTGTCCTAAAATTGGAGTTGTCAAGAACAATATGGAGAGCTATGGTCAACCAATTAGGATACTTATTAGAGGGTTACCAAAAAGAGAAGGCAAAAGGGGTATCACATATTGACTTTAACATGTGGCACCTGGATTAAGTGTGTGACGGAGGGACAAACATACACACCACACTTTATAAAGTAGTATAAGGTTAGGTTTAAATCTTAACTCAGAGTTCTAAGACAATACTAAGATAGTTGTTTTGGGCATGACACAAAACTTGGTGGGGTCAATCCCGAAGTCGCCTGTTTGACTCGACTTGCTATGCCACCTAGGTGACCTATCCTCGACCTGCTTTTAAAACACTTGGACTGAATCTTATTGTTAAAAGAGGGTTTGATGTTTTATAGGAAATGCAATATTTACTACTCAGGTTCATAATTTGTGGCAAGTGCCGACATGTTTCTGCTATGTTTTGACGTCCTATTCTTTGGATACATTCTGAAGAGTAAATATCATTTTGTACACCATATTATGTTGGTTTTAAAAATTAATACCTGCTATTCGATATTAGGTTGTTTGTTTCTGACTAGTCTCTCTCTTTATCTATCTATGTTGGTTTTAAAAAAAAAATTTGACAAAGTTACACATAGGAATGGAACTTGAGACGTTAGGCTATGAAAACCCAGCCTCTACCGTCTCTTTATCTATCTATGTTGGTTTTAAAAATTAATATTTGATATTCCATATTAGGTTGTTTCCTTGTTACGTTCTCTCTCTCTCTC